CTTTTTCACGGAAGAAGGGTCAAGAGGTCATCAACTAGCAATTCTGTCTTTTGCGCCACTTAGCCATCTCTCTGCTTTGGTGATGACTCAGTGCGACAAAACCATTTTCGTTTGAAGGATTTCCATTTTACAGCACCAACACCGTCACTGCTGCCAAAACTGGGATTGGCGTTCTTGCACCTCTTCGACGACCCCCATGGGAGGACATTGGAAAGGAGGAGATAATTGCTAACTCTAATCTCCACCATAAATATTACCACAAAGTTTTGTTTTGTTTTAATAAACTCTTAGTCTACTCCGAAAATGGATAGCTTTACATCTACTGCGACTAAGTAGAGACATTAACTTCGTCACACTATCGTTATTGACGGGAGGGAGGAAGGGAGGGTGCGATATCGGAACAAACCAATCATGATGGTAAGCCTACCTTCACTTCTCCGTGACCTCACACCTTTCGTCGTGTGTGCGTGTACGGGTGTCATCGATGGATTTGACCCCGTGGCTCGAACGTATGATTAAGCGAGACTGTTCCACCTTCACTAATTGAGACTGAATCACCAGAAGTGAATAAAAAAGTATTAGAAGTGGAATCTACATTCTCTTACGTGTAAAAGTAAAACTGAATGAAAAGTGATACTGCCGTTGCGATACTTGGAACGACTACACGTAGGGATTTGGGAATGTTGCCTTTGAGCAATGACTAGTCGACTCATTTCTGTCTACCTTTGCCACAAATGCAGTCGGGCTGAGGAATGTGACTTCCTTTGCCTTTAGTTTGACTTTAGAGCACCGGGTTGGCGACAAAGGATGACAAAAGCGGCGTTAAAGGACTGTTAACCTGAAATACATATGATAGTAGAGCAGCTGACCTCTGACGTCTCGCAGTCCTGCAGAAAATCTGCCAACAACAGAAATAGCATTAATTGCAAATCATTTGATGCACTTTTTGTTATAGGCTATTTCTAACATATTTATTTATGACACCACTCCTAGAAGATCCCGTTCTCCCTTACATAAATATCCGTTTGCATCTGTGCTGTGGCATTTAATCATGGACACGTGTGATAGGTAGCAGAATTCCCGGCCCTTAACCCAGTCCCCAAACTGGAAAGTGAAAGTGCCTTACTTGGCTCCTGAGTGTTTCCTTTCCACCTGATTATGTTGCCATGACTGCCTCAGGAGACCGATCATAATGAGCGGCAGGAAGGGCATACAAAAGAATGAGGAAGGGATATCATGCTTAGTTGTATGTTTGAATCGCTAAACCATGCCAGTTTCTTCTTTTTACCAAATATCAACCCACAAGCATATTCTGGTCGAACAACATATTTTGCATTGTTTTCACCTAGTTCTCAGGCTGCTACAACTACCAGCTTAAGTTATCTTTATACATCTGATATCTTTCTCCAATACTTCACATCAGATTTATGCACTTTTGTATTTCTTTTGTCAAAAAATTTCATCAAAGTAAGATAGGACTTGATAAAAGGATTGAACCAATCAAAATAAAGGAAGGAGAGAGCTACGGCAGGCGATCAGCTGATGCTCTGTTGATGAATAATCCACCGCGCAGCATAACGCTACTTTGCGCCCAATTGATTTTCCAATAAACCACCCCCACCCGTCTGTCGCAGGGATAACCACCTGGTCGTCGGACCATAAATCGATAAAGAAGCGGAATGAGCGAAACAAAGCATTTCAATTGAGGCAGTTTTGAGCGAAATAGGCTCTATTTTTATTTCCATATTGTTTTTTTTTGACAGCAACGAAAATTCCTTTCTAAACAATTTCAGTGGTTTTTATTGAGTTACGAAGACAACCAAAATGGTAAATGAAGCAGTACCTCCTCTCTAGCCTCTGTACTACAAGAGCTGTCATCGTACTTTCGTCGGGTGAACTGGAGGTTAATACAGGTTTGCACAGATCGGATGCTCACAGAAGCGGAAGTCAACTTCACTTTCAAAGCCCTCGCTGTATTCTGAGTATCCAGGTCGGATTACTTGCGTGTACTCCCTGCAATTTCTTCAAATCACAGACATCGTCAGTCTTACCTGAGCATCCCTCCATCAACTTTTGCAACCAAAACTGTGAAAATCAGCGAATTCTACAAATGCTCAAAGGGATGGTTTTACCAGGAAAGGAAAAACATTTATTTATTTTCCCAAACAGTTTATAGAGCTAATTAAACACAAATAAAGATTGCTTGAAAGGAGGGGGAAGTAAGAGGGAAGAGGATAAGAAAGACTAAATTAGCAGTGCTTTACGTCTTAGGTACACGCTTTGATGAAGCAGAAGAAGTGGCCACATCTTGGCACTCCTCATCTTCACATTGGGCCACTAGAATTTCGCTTAAATACTTGTTTTCAATGACGTCCGTATCGAAGTATAAATGCTTCATGAACCCCTCCTTATTGTGGATCGAAACCTTGTGAATCTTCGTGAACATAGAAAACACTTTTCTGAGCTTGACACCTTCTGAACCGTCCTTCATCACGTAGGAGGCCAGCATGTTGCTCAGTACTGTCTTAATGGCAGTTACAGGACCACAGTGTTTAATACAACTACGATCTGAAATAACGAAGAAGGACAATACACCATTAGTTATGCACACGTTGATTTGAAGGTGTGGTTAAACTTCAAAATTGTTTTGTATTACTTACCTGAAGTTAGAAGAATACCGGCCACGAGAGCAAGCTCTGTTGCGTCCACTTTGTTAATAAAAATGTGCCTGGCAATGTTACGAATAGCAGTCGAATGTTTGTCGGTGGATGTGGAAATAAAAGCGTAACCCCTGCATGCCGTGGCTAATAGGTTGATATTTTTGGCACCACCATCCCCACCCATGGCAGCTGCCCTTGCCATTGTCCTGGCGAGAGCATCTGCAGCCCGCAGTATGAGAATGTCGAGGAGAGAGGATTGAAGCAATTGTGTCTGATCTCGGACAGAGAGCTGATTGGAAAAGGTACGACAGTAATACAAGTCATCTCAAGTTTGATGATAATAGGCAATCGAAGGTGCCGTCAACCTACCAACAAAAATCCGGGTATGAATTTGGCAAACGACAAGGTGTCCATGACCCGCAATTTAATGACATTTGACACCATATTTAGTAGAGTATTCATCTTTTCCGATTGGTTGGCATCTGCATTCTGCAAAGATGGAGAGAGAAAACTATCAATAAAATCAAATTTTTAATTTTTTACCAGCAAGTGATACCCTAAGAGTCGGAAGCTTTTCAAACGCGTTTACCTGCATTGTACTTACTTTCGCCTCACCTGAGGCACTAAGACTATCGTCAAAGGTGAGCTCTGTTGTGTATTTGACCCCAAGGATAACACACAGATTCATTAAATGTTGTCTATTTTGAGAGGATATAGTCAATGTTTTACAATGGCTTAAGTGCAAAACGTATTGGCGACTATAATCGACAGCCCTTTCACTGCTTCTACTGAAATGCTAAATAAGTAGGCTGTCCCTACCTCACTTATCGTTTTCACTGTTTCCTCAATTTTCACAGAGCTGATGGGCATCGTTTTGTAGGCGTCGGTTAGCGATTTAAGAATCTCATCGAAGCTGGATTGTTTTATCTGAATGCATTCCACCTCATTTCCACTATCGGTTGAATCTGAAGAGGTCTCGCTGGCAGCAGAGGAATCCGAACCTGGAGCAGGTAGCGGAACTTCATCGGAGCTGGACACTGCTATTGCTGCAGCCTTCGTTGGAGCCTCCGACTCCATTAATGGTGCAGTCATCGCTGCCGAGGTATTCCGCACTTTGGCCTCCAAAGTCGTGGAGGGGCTGGTTGCTGTAGTTGCTGTAATGGTGGTGTTGGTAGGAGTATCGCACTTCTGAGGCGAGACCGACGTTGAAGTTGGCACCTTGATTGCTGCGATTGCTGCCATAAACGCAGTTTTCTCCAACGTTACCGATTGTGAAACCTGCTCCAGGATATGAAAATTTGCCTCAGACTGAGGCTGTTGTTGCGGTTGTTGATACTGCGCCATTGCAGTGCTAGGAGGCGGTGAAGGAAACTGTTGTTGAGGCAGGTTGTGAGGAACTCCTGCCGAATTCCAATAAAGATTTGAGTTGTTCGCTGATGACGAAGGCGATGATAAAAGGAAATCGGGGGGAGTAATCGGTTCCGGCTTGTGAGGGAGATAAGAAGTAGTCGGTGAAAATGTGTTGGGCATTAAATTTGACCTCGATTGTGGGAGTGGCTGTGTTGGAGGTGGCTGCTGGGGCGCGGCCATAGCCGCCTCTGCCTGCTTTCGAGCCCGATTCGCCTCAATCAGACGTCTTTTTGCCAGTCGTTTGTCTTCGTCTAACACCACTACAGAAGACAACCTTTTAAGCACCAAAAACATGACTC